AGCTAGCAATTGTCCATAACTCCAGTTCCAGGGGATCTGACAGTCTCTTTTGTTTTCTGTGGGCACTGCATGACACGGGTGCACTTATCTACATGCAGGTAATATACAAATACACATAAAATAAATAAAAAAATATTTTTATTTTATGTGTATGAGTGCATTGCCTGCATGCGTGTAAGTGCACCCATGTTGTACAATGTCCATGGAGGTCAGAAAAGGGCATGGAGTTATGGACAGTTGTTAGCTGCCATGTGGGTGCTGGGAATTGAACCCAGGTCCTTTGCAAGAGCAGCCAGTGCTCTCAATGACTGAGCATCTCTCCAGCCCCTCATACTTAGTTTCTTTAAAAGCTTTTAAGCTGGTTTTCAGGGTTCCAGCCTTATCTGTGGTGTTTGTACATACCTTCACTGATAGCTGGAGGTGGCCTCCCTCTATCCCTGAGTCAGTTCCTAGCGACTGCTCTGACTGGCTCACTCTGACTCTCTCTGACTCTCTTGCTCTGACTTGCTCACATGTGCTTACGTTCCTTGGGAGTCTCTCATTGTTAGTTTCTTGCACTGTGGTACTTTCTTCCTTTTTGCTGACTGTGTAATGTGCACTTAATTTCCTTTGTCATTCCCAACATTGAATGTAAGTATCATGAAGATCTTAGATTAATTTACGTCGTTATTTACAGGCAAGAAAAATGTATAGCAATTGAGAAACCATTAACACTTCCCCAAAGATTTCATTCCTACAAAGATTGTGTTCTGCTCCTCAGCACCTTAGCAAACATAAAGATGTTCTTGTTCCACGTAGTCTGCAGTTCTGAAGGGATTGCACCATTCTCCTTTGGTCCTTTCATTCAGTGGGTAGTCTTTGGAGCCCTCTTGTGTGTCTGTCTGCCGCTGTGTTAAGGTTAGTGGGAACTGAAGCTTTACTTCGGTCAGCACCTTTGCTTGTTTGCAGGGTGAATTCTTTTTTAATTTAAATTTTTTATGTGTATGAATATTTTGCCTGCATGTGTGTACATGCACCACATGTGTGCAGTGTCTGTGGAGGCCAAAAGAGGGTATCAGATCCCCTGGAACTGTACAGCTGTGAGCTGCCATGTGGATGCTGGGAACTGAACCCAGATCCTCTGCAAGAGCAACCAGTGTTCTTAACCACTGAGCATCTCTTCGGCCCATACCTGGACTTCTCCGTTTTCCTGCCTCTCTTTCCCTCCCTGGTGCTGGAATTACAGGTGTGTGCTGTCTTGCCCAGCTTATGTGATGCTGGGGATGGAACCAAGGGCATGGGAAGACTAGGCAAGCACTTTCCAGTGGAGCTACACCCTCGGCCCCCAAGAACCTCAGGGCCTCATGCATGCTAGACCCACAGTAATTGCCATTTAATAGAAAGCTGTCATGGTACTGGAGAGATGGCTCACTGGTTAAGAACACTGGCTGCTCTTTCAGAGGATCCGGGTTCAATTCCCAGCACCCACATGGTGGCTAACAACCATTCATAACTCCAGGTCGAGAGGATCTGACTCCCTTTTCTGTCCTCCAAGGGCATTAAATGACACGGGTGCACCTTCCTACATGCAGGCTGTATGCTCATACACATAAAAAGTAAAAAAAAATAGCCGGGTGTTGTGGGGCATGCCTTTAGTCCCAGCACTCAGGATGCAGAGGCAGGGGATCTCCGTGAGTTCAAGGCCATCCTGGTTTACATAGTGCATTCAGGTCAGCTGGGGCTACAGGGAGACACACACACACACACACACACAATTTTTTTTTTAAAAAATAAAACCTTTTTCATATTTGCTAATTCATATTTGTCAAACAAGTTAAAGGATAATTATATCTTTACAAAAAAGACATGATTACTTTCAAAATGTTACTGTAAATCTCTTTAGTGGCCTGGCCTTTGTGTTGTTACTTGAGGCTTATCAGTATAGACACATTTATTTCATTAACTGGATCTAATCTCATAATTATTTTTGAAGAATGAATATTAACTTGTTACCAGAAAAAGATTAGTGATTCCAGTGCCCTGGTATGGGAGTTGGTGGCTATGGATTTAACAGAATTGAAGTTGTTTTCTTAGAAGGATTAATCCTTGGGAAAGAGATTTCTTATTTTATGTGTATGAGTGTCTTGCCTGCATATATATAAATGGACCTGTGTAGTACAGTGCCTGGGGAGGTCAGAAAGGGGTATCTGATCCCCTGGAACTGGCAGTTGTTAGTTGCCGTGTGGGTCCTCTCCTCTGAACTGCTGAGCCATCCCTCCGGCCCCTGTTTAAACTCTTTTGATGGGAAAATCCTAAATGAAAGTTTTCAAACAGATTGATCTGGTGCTTTGCATTATAGTCTTTAAAATTTTTTTTTAAATTTATTTTTATGTGTAGGTATGTTTTACCTGCATGTATGTAAACAATATCTGCAGAGATCAGAAGAGGGAGTCTGATCCCCTGGAACTGAAGTTAAAGATGGTTGGTTGTTAGCTGCCATGTGGGTGCCAAACAGAAGCTGGGTCCTCTGCACGAGCAGCCAGTGTTCTTAACTGCTGAGCCATCTCTCCAGCCCCTTATGGGACAGTCTTAAAGAGGAAAATAGTTTTCAGCTGACTTTGAACTCTTTTCTGCCTCAGACTACTGAGTGCTAGGATCTTAGGCTTGTGCCGCTTCACATGCAACTCAAGAGCCCATGAAGTGTTGGGGTCACATAATTTCTATCTCAATTCTTTTTTTTTTTTGGTCTTTTTTGAGACAGGGTCTCCCTGTAGCCCCAGCTGTCCTGGAACTCACTATGTAGACCAGGCTGGCCTTGAATCACAGAGATCCGCCTGCCTCTGCCTCCCAAGTGCTGGGATTAAAGGTGTGCACCACCACACCTGGCTCTTTTTTTCTCTTATGTATGTGTTGTGTTGTGTGCATGTGTGTGCACTTGTGTGTAGGCATATGGGTGCGCATGTGTGTGAAGGCCTGAGGTTGACATGGAGAGTTTTCCCCGGTTACTCTCCACTTTATTAATTGATGCAGGATCACAAGTTGACTCCAGAACTCCTTGATTGACTGGCTAGCCTACCTGGCCACAGTCTCCAGGGGTCCCCTGTCTCTGCCTTCCTAGCACAGAAAGTATAGGTGGCTGCCACACTCACCTGGCGTTTACGTGGGTTCTGGGGTCCTCATGCTTGGGCAGTAAGTGGTTCATCCACTGAGCCATCTCATCTCCCAGTCCTAGTTTTTGTTTTTGAAGTTTTTTTTTTTAACACTGATTTGTGCATGGGGGTAGTGGGTTAGGGTCCACACATGCCTTAGCATGCTTGTGATTGGAAGAGGACAACCTTCAGGAGTCAGTTTTCTCTTCATACCATGTGGGTTCCCAGGATTGAATTTAGATTGTCAGGCTTGGTGGCAGGTGCTTTTACTCTAGGAGCTGTCTTTCCAGCCTCTAGTTTTGAGACAGGATCTCCTACATCCCAAGGTGACTTTAAATGTGTTCCTTGCTATACAGCTTTAACTTCCTCTAACTCCCAAGTGCCTGGTTTTGGCAAGTCCTGCGGATCGCATTGGGGGCCTTGTCTGTGCAAGGCAAGCACTGTACCCATTGAGCCTCATTCTCAGCTTTTTTTGTCTTTTATTTTGTCTTTTTGAGACAGGGTCTTCCTGTAGCCCCAGCCGTCCTGGAACTCACTGTGTAGACCAGGCTGGCCTTGAACTCACAGAGATCTGCCTGTCTCTGCCTCCCGAGTGCTGGGATTGAAGGCGTGCACCACCACGACCCGCTATCCTCAGCTTTTCTGAAAAGAAATTTATTAGCCAGGTGTGGGAGGAAGAGGCAGGCAGATCTTTCCGAGTTCAAGGCCAGCCTGGTCTACATAGTGAGTTCCAGGCCAGCTAGAGCTACATGGAGACCCTGTCTCAAAAAGACCAAGAAAAGAAAGAAATTTATTTATTTTGCATGTGTGTATGTACATGGGCACACATGTGGAGTCAGAGGACAGTTTGAGGGAGTAGTTTCCTTCCAGCAAGGGGGGAGGGTGTGTGTCTCTGGGATTGAATTTAGGTTCTCAGGCTTGACAGCAAGCATTTATCTGGTAAACCATTTCACTCTCCCAGTGTTTTTTATTTTTTTGAGATAGAGTCTCAATATAGCCCTTTACTCTATGTGGTTAGCTGACTTAATTTTTTTTAATGCACTACTTGTGTGGTTTAAATTAGTATCTTATGCTTTTGGACCAGACATGGTGGTTTACACTTGTATTCCCAGCATTTATGAGGCTGAGGCAGGAGGATTATTCTGAGTTTGAGGCTAACCTGTGCTGTGTAGTAAATTCCAGGCTAGCCTGAGCAGCAGTGTGAGACCTTGTCTCAAAAAGCCTAATAGGGGCTAGAGACTTGGCTCAGCAGTTAAGAACACTGGCTGGTCTTGTAGAGGACCCAGGTTCAGTTCCCAGCACCCACACAGCAGCTAACAACTGTCCTTAACCCCATTTTCAGGGGACCTGTTACCCTCTTCTGATCTCTGTGGACATTGTATGTATGTGTGCACTTAGGTGCATATATGCAAATCACTCATAAAATAAAAAATAAATACAATTTTTTTTTTTTTGGCCTTTTTGAGACATGGTCTCCCTGTAGCCCCAGCTGTCTTGGAACTTACTATGTAAACCAGGCTGGCCTTGAACTCATAGAGATCTACCTGCCTCTGCCTCCTGAGTGCTGGGACTACAGGTGTGCGCCACCACGCCCGGCTTAATACAAATTTTTAAAAAGCCTAATATAAAATGAAATATTTTTGGTCTTTTTTTGAGACAGGGTCTCCCTATAGCTCCAGCTAGCCTGGAACTCACTATGTAGAACAGGCTGACCTTAAACTCACAGAGATCCACATGCCTCTGCCTCCCAAGTGCTGGGACTAAAGGTGTGCACAACCATGCCCAGCTTAGTACTTATTTTGAATATCAGATTTCTTTACTTATTTTTTTCCTAAGGGAACAAAATTAACCCTGTGCTTTCTCATTTTTTAGGAGCAGTAGAGAACTATGGACAATCCTGCTTGGAAGGTCGGCGCTTAGAGAACTGGTAAGTGATTTCTAGGGTTGGTATTTTGTTTTGTTCCATGTTGTTTTAATTTGTATTACAAGAACAACCCAGAAATAGGGCTGTTGTCTTAATTGCCGGGGCTGGAATGATGGCTCAGTGGTTAAGAACATTGGCTGCCCTTGCAGAGATACCAGGTTCAATTCCCAACACCCACATGTCAGCTTACAACCGTCTGTAACTCCAGTTCCAAAGGAATCTTAACACCCTCTTCTGATCTCTATGGGCATTACACAACACTGGTACACTTACACACATGCAGGCAATACACTCATATACATAAAATAAAAATATTTTTTAAAAATGCTAATGGATTGCCTGCTTAGTAGGTACAAACTTCATTCTCTACTCGAGCTAAGAAAGATCCCTAGACCTTTCTCTGTCTTACACTTGTCTTTGTTTTCCTTTGGCTTTCTCTAAATCATGGAGGCTGTGGATTCTGAGAGTGCCAAGTCTATCGTCAGGAGAGGCTGGTTGTTCATGCTGGTCCTTGAGTATTCTGACCCTGTGAGGATAGTGTTAGGATGGCATTCTGTCATTATCACTCTTTGGAGTTATTATTAGTACAGTGTTAGACCTATTTTAGAACTTTATTATGCCTTCAGATAATTCTGCTTGTAGAATGCATCCTTAGAGAAGGACATCTTGAAAATGTTTTGTGGTCAGAGTATGTTGGTAATACATTTTATTAATAAAGAATTACACAGTTGAGTGTGGTAGCTGGCTTGGATCTCAAGTTTGAGATCAGCTTGAACTACAGTGAGACTGTCTCAAGAATAAAAACAAACCAACAAGCACCGTTTGAGTGTGTCTAGCATATTAGAAGCATGCCAAATAATGATCCTAGTCCCTTAGTACAATGTACAGTCAAAAGCTGGGCGTGGTGCTGCACACCTTTAATCCCAGCAGAGGGAGGCCGATCTCTGTGAGTTCAAGGTCAGCCTATTCTACATAGTGAGTTCCAGGCCAGCAATCAACTGGAAAGTGTTTATAAAGCTTTCCATACAAAGATTAAATGATGCTACAATGTTATTATTTTTTAATTTTATTTATTTATTTATTTATTTATTTTTGGTCTTTTTGAAGCAGGGTCTCCCTGTAGCCCCAGCTGTCCTGGAACTCACTATGTAGACCAGGCTGGCTGTGAACTCAGAGATCTGTCTGCCTCTGCCTCCCGAGTGCTGGGATTAAAGGTGTGCGCCACCACGCCCAGCTTGCATGTATATGAGTGCACCTGTGCTGTGCAATGCTTCGGAGTTCAGAAGAGGGCTTCAGATTCCCCTGGAACTGGAGTTAGGATGATTCTTAGCTGCCATGTGGGTGCTGGGAATTAAACCCAGGTCCTCTGCAAGAGCTCAGCTCTTAACTGCTGAGCTATCTCTTCAGCCCTGATGCTACAATTTTTTTTTTTCTTTTTGGTCTTTTTGAGCGATGCTACAATTTTAATCAAAGAAAAGTCAGTTACAGAGTTCTGTATTCGAAAAGATTTAAACTGTAGTGACCTGTGTGTAGGGTTGTATTTTTTTTTTAATTATTATTTTTGTTTTATGTGTATGCATGTATTGCCTGCATGTAGGTAAGTGCACCCGTGTTGTGCAATGCCCCCGGAGGACAGAAGAGGCTGTTGGATCCCCTGGGACAGGGTTACGGACAGTTGTTAGCTGCCATGTGGGTGCTGGGATTTGAACCCAGGTCTTCTGCAAGAACAGCCAGTATTCTTAACCGCTGAGCCATCTCTCCAGTCCTAGGGATATTTTTTTAAAGATTTATTTTACTTTTAATTATGTGTATATGTGTATGTATATGTAAGTGCTCATAGAAGCCAGAGGGATCGGATCCCACAGAGCTGGAGTTCCAGGAGCTGCCTGATGTGGGTGCTGGAAGTTGGCTTGGGTCCTCTGGAAGAGCAGTATGCACTCTTAACTGCAGAGCCATCTCTCCAGCCCTGGTTATGTATCTTTTAAAAAGATGCAAAGGAATATGCAATGTGCAGTGTGATCTGAATCCCATGTGTAATTACCTTGTTCTTTTACAGAATCAGATAGAGGTGGAGCTGAATAAATACTGGCAGCGCTTGTTAGAAGGGCTCTCTCACTACAAACCTCCCAGGTATGGCTGTTCCACGTGTCTAGTTAGGCCGGTTTCCCCAGTGAAGTTGTCGTAGAGGAAACTGTCCTTATATACCACTTAAAACATGCTGGGCTAGGTAGATCACAGAGAATACAATTTGGTTATCAATGAAATGAGTCCAGCTCATCTTTTTTCACCTTTCAGTGCTGGGAGTGGTACCCAGGGCCTTCTGTGTGCTAGGCAAGTATAGAATCCAATTTATGTCTAGGCCTGGGAATTTGCTAAATATTCAACTAATATTTTTGATATTTCAGGTGGGATATACAGTGAACGAGGTTACTAATAGCTGACTTGCATAGCATTTACTAAGTGACAGTTACCTTTCTAAGAACTTAACATAAATTATTTTGACAAGATTTATACAGTATGAAAAGTAATCAGGGAGCTGGCAGCTTTGCTCAGTGGGGATGCTACTGTGCCCAAGGCCTGGGAGTCAGTCCCCTGCATGGCAAAGGAAAGAGTGTAACTAGCACATTCATCCTAAGGTCTTTAATTCTCAGAATGACTCTTGGAGTGGTTGCTATTTGTGTTCTTTGGGTGAGTATTCAGGTTTTCTAACCTGGACAATAGAAAACAATAATAAAATATAAAATAATTAAAAAAAAACGAGTTTGTGTAGATTTGGTCACCTTAATAGCACTCACCCTGTTGGACGTCCTAGTTCATCATCCCCTCTACCTCTGGACGTGCTGAATTTTTGAGTCCTTACTACCCTCTTCATTCTCTTACATGGATAATGAGCTTTTTGTTGTTTGTCAGTTAACCTTTCCCCAGAATTATTTTGAAGTTAGCTCTCAGACGTTATTATTTTATCTGTAAATACTCTACTGTATAGCTTAAATATATGGCCTTTATACATAATATAACCACTTGTAGATACTTTTATTATCGTTTCCATTTTACAGATGGGGAAACTGAGGCACAAAGTGGTTAAGTAACTTGCCCAATGTCACACAGCTAGTAAGTGGTGAAACCAGGATTCAAACCTGGCAGTCTTAGTCTAGTGTCTGTGTTCTTAATCATTATTCTGTGTTGCCTCTTTCAGAATTCTCTGTTTATCCTTATGCTAGTTTTTATGCTGTGGAGTTTCTGTGAAATGGGAGAATAGCTATTTAAAAAAAAAGAACAACCCAACATACTTATAAAATGGATATTTGTGGCAGTTTAAAGCTTTGTGTTTGTTTCAGGGGTTGCTAGGGCTTAGGGCCTTGAACATGCTAAGTACATGTTCTACCACTGATCCCTCTCTGTCTCTCTACATCCGCCTCTCCCATTGTATGGTTTTACAGTGTAACAGGATACACTGTTTGCTTCCAGAGTGCTGGGATTCACCAAGCTGGCCTTGAATTCATAGAGACTGCCTGCCTCTGCCTCCTGAGTGCTAGGACTAAAGGAGTGCACCACCATGCCCAGCTCACAAGCCCTTTTAAAAAAATGCTTTACTAGCCAGGTGTGGTGGTACACACCTTTAATCCCAGCACTTGGGAGGCAGAGGCAGGTGGATCTCTGTGAGTTCAAGGC